TGAAGAAACCCAATGGAAACATTACCAATAGAACAGAGAAGATAAAAGAAAGAATGCTAGGGATTGAAATGGGTTATTAGAATCAGATACCAATAATTGAAAAGCTAATCCTGACTGCGACATGCAAGACCCTAGGACACGATTAAGAGATGAAACCTGGTGCACACCTTTAATCCCAGCACTCAGGAGGCAGGGGCAGGTGGATCTCTGTGAGTTCGAGGCCAGCCTGGTCTACAGAGTGAGTTCCAGGACAGTCAGAACTGAGAAACCTTGTCTTCGAACAAACAAACGAACAAACAAACAAAGAGATGGAATCCACAAGTCTGTAAAAGAAGGGGCATGAGATACAAACTAAAGGGACTGGAAACCTATTTACTGTAATCTTAGCAGAAACATTCTAAAATCTTGGGACACATGCAGACTTCCAAATAAAAGAGGCGTGTAGAATCTCTAATACAGGGGGCCAGAAAAGAACCTCTCTGTGCTGTACTTAAAATGACCAGAGTGCAGAACAAAGGCAGAATATGGAAAGCTTCAAGACACAGGTGCCAAGGCCAGCGCTGCAGTAACAACAGGCCTCCTGTCAGAAACTCTAAAGGTAGGAGAGCAGAGACTGAGGAAGTTCAAATCCTGATGGAAAGTAACTGCTAACCAAGATGACTCCATCCACTAATGTTACCTTTCCTTTAACATCAACGGGTAGGACCAACAAGACAGTTCAGTGGGTAATGCACTTACTGCACAGGGCTGATAGCATGAATTCAGTCCCTGAATCCTGTAAAGGTGGAAAGAGGGAAGGACTCTATAGAGATGTCCTGTGACCTCCACATAGGCACCTTAGCATAAGTATGCTCACAGACACATCAGATATACACAGCTATTACACAGATATTAAACTAGAAATAAAGACCTTCCAGATAAGCATAAGCTAAAGCAATTCATGACTTAAATATTGCTAAAGCAATAATGCCTACCACGACAGTGCCAAAGATGTTTACAGGAGTATTACACACAGAAGGGGAAGAAAGGTGTACACAAAGACAGCAGCTTAGGATGGAATAAATCTCAGTAGAAGGATTGATAAAAACACGAGGTCAGAATCACATATTATTAACAGTAAATCAGCAAGTCTCTACGATGAATAAGAGAGAGATTAACACATACCTCTAATAGTAACGATAAATACAAACGACTTTATTTGTAAGTCATAGAATGCGACCCTCTGGCTCTACCAGAAGACACTGCTGATTTGCTGCTTTTCTATAACAGACCTTCCAGCACCTGAGCCTTTTAACAACCAAATGCAATGTCTCTCAAATCTTTTAGGATGCAGAGAGGGGCAGGGTAGCATGTTATGGAGCATGAACTTCACACAAGTGGGGAGAGCGGGCTTGGGTTTGCAGTGGCGTCCCAGGAGTCTGCCCCAGCCGCTGGCTTCTAGTTCCTGGGCAGAATAACTATTCTCCTAAGAAGTGGCATCTCCTAGGGTAGAAGCAGGGCCGGCTTTCAGTGGAGAGAGCAAGCTGAACTGTAGTTTACTTACAAAGAGAGAAAGACAGAATAGCAAAGAAGGAAAGTAGCTGAATGCAGAGAAGTGAGACCAGAGCATTCATTAAATGTGTGCTGAGTTTTCCTGAGAGTAGGTGTCATCATGCATCTCTACTTCCTTAAAATCCACTGTGTTTGGTACAAACCAGACTCGGCATATATAGTTTTGAAAATAAAATGTAACCCTTGTAAGTAGCTTTAAATTATTTTCCAAAGGGCAAGCAGTGTGGTTGGGGGTGGAGGTGGTGTGGTGTGGTTGGAGTAGGGGTGAGAAGGTCTCAGATGTCAGTCTTCAGGCACTGTCTACCTTGTTTTTTTCTGAATCAGGGCCTCTGACTGCTCTGAAGCTTGCCTGGACGGTGAGGCAAAATCCCAAAGAGCTGCCAGTCACTGTCTTTCCAGTGTTAGGACCGTGTGTGTGTGTGTGTGTGTGTGTGTGTGTGTGTGTGTGTGTGTGTGTGTACATGAATGCAGGTGCCCTCAAAGGCCAGAGGCATTGAATCCCCCAGGTTGGAACTAGAAGTGGCTGTGAGCTGCCCCACATAGGTTCTGGGAATTGAGCTCTGGACCTTTGCAAGAGTAGTATAAGCTCTTACAGCTACTTTCTCTAGTTCCACACCCTGCTCTATAGTACTCAGGTCCTTGTGCTTGAAAGGCAACTATTTTAACTGACTGAGCTATGGTCTTTGCCTTCTCTTTTTCCTTTTGATCAGAGGAAATGAGAGATGGATAATTGCTCTGGGCACTTGGAAGGGTATAACCCAATTTTATGGAAACTTTAAAATAACTATTGGATTAGTCACAGTGGGGCAAAATGGTCACATCAGTATATCCTTCCTCCCCCATCAGGTACACTGAGGCAGCCCTGACCCAGCACTGAGGGTGAGCAGAGTATAAGAGGGTTCCCTGTGAGTGTAACTGCTGGGTACTCTGCTCATTAGCTCACTAGAAACTGGGGTGTGTGTGTGTGTGTTTGTGTGTGTGTGTGTGTGTGTGTATGTGTGTGTGTATGTGTGTGTCTATGTGTGTGTGTGTGTATGTGTGTGTCTATGTGTGTGTGTGTGTGTGTGTATGTGTGTGTCTATGTGTGAGTGTGTGTGTGTGTTTCAAGACAAGGTTTCTTGTGTCCAGGCTGACTTCAAATTTGCTGTGTGGTTCTATGAAGGATGCGGTGCACAGGGAGCAAGAGCAGCTTCCTTCAAGTAGGGAAGAATGAGACTATTCCTCCAGGCAAATGAGCCAAGGGCCAGCTAGACACACAGAACACTTGGGGTGTGCTTTGAAAGACCCAGAGAACCATCACAATGTGGTTAAAGATTGTCAACTTTTTAGTGTAGTTTTTGTGTGCCATGAAAATTAGTCTCTAAGAAGGTGCATACAAACAGTCTGCATTGAGAAAACACAGAAATGGTGCATTTAAAATGGGAAGCTTATCTCTGAGCTCTTTTTGTTCAACAGTTAAGTCTACCAAGGCTCTCATCCCAAACAAATGCCATCTGTTTCTTTTTATCTAAGCCACAAAACATGAGAGAAATTTTATGGTCTCTTTATGATAGGTACCCCCCATTGTTTTCTCTTCCACAAACAGGTGCATGAGGTTGATTGAAGGGTCTTTATATTATCATGTAAAGTTGCCCTTTGTGAATTTTCCACCATAAATAGCACAGCTGTAAGGTCTTGCTTTATTCAAATGAACCTAATCAAACGAAGTGGGTAGCCATCAAGCCCAAGTTCATTCTTTGGGTACCGTGGCTACCTCATTTGTAATAGGACAGAGGACCACTAGACGGAGCTAGTGTTTAAGAAATCACAGCTCAAACCTGGGGGCTGATGTTATCCAATGTGAGAAATCCAGCATTATCTTCAAGTCACAGCTTATGCCAGTCTTGCCCAGCCATCTTCTGCTGGCAGGAGCCATTGCTTGGGCTGTGTCCTTGCAAGTAGATGAAAGGTGACATTTATAATGGCCTGATTCATCTAGTCACTCTGACAAAGACATTTGACTTGGCACTTAAATCTTTCCCCCAGATTTATTTTACAAGTATGAATTTTGCCTGCATGTCTGTATGTGTGCCATATCTGTGCCTGGTGCCTGATGGGGTCAAAGGCATCAGATGCCCTGGAAATGGAGTTCCAGATGGTTTTGAATTACTGTGAACTAAACCCAAGTCTTCTGCAAAAGCAGCCAGTGTTCTTAACTGCTGAGCCCCCTCTGCAGGCCCCAGCACAGAACTTTAAAAGGCAGTATCCTGCCTTCTGTCTAATTCCTCCAGTGCTCCACAACTCAGAGAGTGCTTGGACAGAATTAGCTTTTGAGATTAAGAATCTGAGACAGGGTGTCTTTGCAGCTCATTAAGATGTTTCAGGATGGTGAACCTAGGCATTAGAGGTCCCAGGGTCGGTTTTGTTCTTGCATTTTATGTTGGATCTTTTTTTGTTTGTTTTTCAAGACAAGGTTTCTCTATATAGCTTTGCACCTTTCCTGGATCTCGCTCTGTAGACCAGACTGGCCTCGAACTCACAAAGATCCGCCTGCTTTTGCCTCCAGAGTGCTGGGATTAAAGGCGTGTGCCACCACCTCCCGGCTTATGTTGGATCTTTGTCCAATCTGAAACTAACCAATTAACAAGCAAGCCATCCTTCTGTGGGCACAGTCACAGTGCCCTGCCTCACTCACAGCACAAAGACAGATGCAGTATGTACAGTTGGAACACCCTTCTTTTCAGGGAACAAAAGGTCTGAGCAGTTTCTACCTGGGGTCTGCCCTGTGGATGCTCCTCCAAGTCACGGTTATGGCTGTTTAATCAAAGCCTGATGTACTTTGGGAAACCTTCAGAGGCAGCCCACCTCTTTGAAGCTGGACAGCCCGCTTGTTCCTATTTTTAACCTCATACACAATCTTAAGAGGTTGTGTTTTAGCTGGAAACCACAATGTGCTAACTCATGTTTTGTTGTTCTTTTCTTTGGTAAAATGCTTGTTCTGTAAGAGCGGACAACCACCAGGTGGAAAGGGCCATTTATCAATTGAGGAGGCTGCACCCCGAAAGGGCTTCTGGGAGCTGAATCTGTCAGTCATCCTGCAAGTTGGCCCCCTTAGACGCTTGGTTGATTGCTGGGGAAGCTGGATAGGCAGGCTAAGAAAACTTGTAGAACGCAGGACGCTGTTTGCAGAGCCTAGAGATCCTGACTCCGGTCCGAAGCAGCGCAAAGGAAGAGTCTCACCCTCGTGTCCCTGAGACTCCTTGTAACCTTTTCAGGGGTGACTTCACCAAGAAAGCTGCTCAACTTGCTTAGCACCCAGCCCCAGGCGCACTCTGGACACACTTCTCGCTGCGCCCAGAGGGTGCCGCTGCAGTCCCAGCCTTGCCCCGCGGCTCCCGGCTGCGACTGGGTCCCCGCGGGATGCGCGCTCGGTAGGGGGCGCCCTGGACCGGCTGGCTCCCTCCGCCCAC